CATTCAACTCAGAAGGCTCCGACGAGTTGAACGCCACCGGACCCGTCGCCGTCAGATTGCCCACGCGCGGCCATTCTCCGGCGCGTGTAGTCCACGCGCCGCATTCCCGGAATTTTTTCCGCCGCGAGCTACCCAGATCACCTCGTCGTCCTCTTCTCTACTTGTTCCAGTGGTCAGATATAAAATCGGAGCAAATTTTTTTTTTGGGTCCACGGTCAAACCTTCTCTTTCTATTCATGGCTTCCTCGAATTGTTCTTCTGCCTCCTCATCTGCCCCAAATTCTCAGCCCTCTGGAGACAACTTAGGTTTGCAGATCACTAGTCATCGGTTGAACGGTAAGAATTTTCTGCAATGGTTTCAATTGGTTAAGTTGGTCATCCGGGCAAAGGGTAAGATGGGCTATCTCGAAGGAAAAATTAAGAAACCTGCTGAGGATTCTCCTGATTATGAAAATTGGGAGATTAATAATTCCTTGGTCATGGTTTGGCTGACTAATTCCATGGAACCACAAATTGGCCAAACCTATTTGTTCTTCGATACTGCCAAGGAAATTTGGGATGCTGTTCAACAAAATTACTCAGATCTGGAGAATACCGCTCAAGTCTTTGAACTGAGAAATAAGTTGAGAGACTTTCGTCAAAGGGGTATGACTATTACTGAATATTTTACTGCGCTAACAAATTTATGGCAGGAATTGGATCTTTATTATGCATCCGATCTTAAGGGATTGGAAGCTAATACCCAGTTTAAAAAACACTTGGAGAAGGAACGACTTTATGATTTCCTTGCCGGACTCAACCGAGATCTTGATGAGGTTCGTGGTCGAATATTGGGGCAGCGACCGTTACCCTCACTTGCTGATGCCTTTGCTGAAGTTCGTAGAGAAGCTAGTAGACGGAGAGTTATGCTGGGAGAACAGGAGTCACTTGATAAGTCTGATGATATGTCTGCATTAGCTGCCAACCGTACCATTGACCGATCCTCTGGAGAATCAAAACGGGATAGTCGTCCATGGTGCACCCACTACAATAAAATTGGTCATACCCGTGAGAAATGTTGAGAAATCCACGGGAAACCTGCAAATTGGAAGCCAAAAGGACAGAATAAAGGTCGTGCATATCAGGTCTCTACTGATGACAAGGTTGATGAGCCTCGTACATCCTCTGACTTTGATGGAGTCTTTCTTAGCAAGACTCAGTTTGAACAACTTCAGAGACTTTTGACTCAACCTCCTAAGGCCACTAGTAATGTGGTCCAGCAAGGTACAACTTTCCATGTTGATAGTCAAAATCATTGGATCCTTGATTCTGGAGACTCTGATAATATGACAGGTAATCTTGGCTTGTTTTGTTAATACACTCCATATTCTGAACCCTCTCGGGTCAACATCGTCGATGGCAGTTTTTCCCAGATTGCGGGACACAAAACCATTAAACTTTCTGAGCTGATTAATTTGACATCAGTTCTTTATGTTACTTCTCTGGCTTGTAATCTCATTTCCATAAGCAAGTTGACTTCTGAGTTGCATTGCTTTGCTAAATTCTTTCCACATGGTTGTATTTTTCAGGAACAGGACTCAGAGAGGATGATTGGCAGTGCTAGAGAGGATGGTGGACTTTACTACTTTGAGGAGGATGTGACTCATGAAGCTGTTTTCGTAGAAAAAAAACTCTATGTTTCCTTTTGATTCATGTAATGTTGTTATGCTGTGGCACCGTAGGCTACGCCATCCCAATTTTATTTATCTTCAGAAGTTGTTACCAAACTTATTTATTAATAAAAGCCCTAGTTTGTTTTCTTGTGATATTTGTCAACTTGCCAAGCATACTCGTGCTCATTATCCTTCTAAAGTTCACCATGACTCTTCCCCATTTTCCTAAGTCATAGTGACATATGGGGTCCAGCCCGTGTTAAAAATATTTCAGGTGCTCGATGGTTCATTACCTTCATTGATGACCATTCCCGAGTTTGGTGGGTATATCTTCTAAAGGACAAGTCCGATGCTGCATCCGTTTTTAAAAAATTTCATGCAATGGTTCAAACCCAATTCCAAGTTGCTATGCAAATTCTTCGTACAGATAATGGCAAAGAGTATTTTAACTCTATTCTTGGAGAATATCTTTCCCAACATGGCATCTTTCACCAAAGCTCGTGTCCTGACACACCCCAACAAAACGGAGTTGCGGAAAGAAAAAACCGACATCTCCTTGAAGTTGCTCGGGCTCTTATGTTTACCACGAGTGTTCCTAAATATCTTTGGGGAGAAGCAGTTCTCACTGTCTCGTATCTGATAAATCGAATGCCATCTCGCATTCTAAAATTTCAGTCTCCTCTTTCTAGTCTTTTCCGTACCTTCCCTTCCTTCCGAGGCGTCTCCTGCTTACCTATCAAGTTATTTGGTTGCGTTGTATTTGTCCATATTCCCTCTCATCAACGGTCTAAGCTTGATCCTAAGTCTCTCCAGTGTGTCTTTATTTGTTATTCTCCTACTCAACGTGGCTATAAGTGTTATTCACCCTCTCTTCATACGGTCTTTGTCTCTATGGATGTCACCTTTTTTGAGAATGAACCGTTCTTTCCCTTGACTTCTCTTCAGGGGGAGTCTATAGGAGCAGATGAAGATCAGTCATGGGAACCTACTGATGCCACAGTATTACCTCTACTATTGGAAACAGGGGGAGCTACAGAATCCTCACCATCAGGAGCATCCTCAAAATGGGGACAAGTTTATAGCAGGCGAAAGCCTCCTCAAAGTGTGAATAACCCAGAGCCTGTACACTGCCAGGATTCTGAACCATGTTCTAGTTCCAGCACCCCAACATTTGAGTGCCATGATGAAAATGATCTACACTTGCCTATTGCTCTCATAAAAGGTACTCGATCTTGTACTACTCATCCTATCTAATCATATTTCATATGGAAAGTTGTCCCAGGGTTCCATGCTTTCAATACTATGTTGGATAATACAAAGATACCGAGAAATATACACGAGGCTCTCGATGATCAAAAATGGAGGGATGCTGTCTTTGAAGAAATGAATGCTTTAGAAAGAAATGGAACTTGGGAGATAGTGACCCTACCCAAGGGAAAACAGGCAGTAGGATGCAAATGGGTGTTTACAATAAAATTTAATGCAGATAATAGCATCAATAGATACAAGGCAAGATTGGTTGCAAAGGGTTTCACGCAGACTCATGGGATAGATTATCACGAGACTTTTGCTCCAGTTGCTAAAGTCAATACCATCCGAGTTCTCTTATCTCTTGCTGCCAACCTAGATTGGCCTCTGCAACAATTAGATGTGAAGAATGCATTCCTAAATGGTGACTTACATGAAGAAGTCTATATGGATCCTCCACCTGGTTTTGAAAAGGGAAATGGATCAGTGTGTAAACTAAAAAAGTCTCTATATGGATTGAAACAGTCTCCCAGAGAATGGTTCGACAAATTCACACAAGCAGTCAAAAGAAGAGGCTTCATTCAAGCACAGACTAATCATACTCTCTTCCACAAACACTCTAAGGATGGTAAAATTGCTATTCTTATTGTATATGTAGATGATATAGTTCTTACAGGTGATGATATTGAGGAATTGAACTCCTTGAAGAAATATCTAGCAGCTCAATTTGAACTAAAAGATCTTGACATTCTCAAATATTTCCTTGGTATGGAAGTTGTTAGGAGCAAAACAGGCATCACTCTCACACAAAAGAAATATGTTCTAGATCTTTTGTTGGAAATAGGAATGTTAGGGTGTAAGCCTGCTGAGACACCCGTGGAACCTAATACCAAGTTAGGTATTGAAGATGGAATGAGGTGGATAAAGAACATATCAGAGATTGGTTGGTAAATTAATTTACTTATCTCATATGCGTCTGACATTGCCTTTGCGGTGAGTATGATTAGTCAATTCATGCACTCACCTAAGGAGAAGCATCTTAGTGTAATCTATAGGGTGCTTAGATACCTCAAGAACACTCTAGGAAGAGGATTATTCTTTAAAAAGGGGTATAAAAGGACGATTGAAATCTACACTGATGCAGATTGGGCAGGCTCATCAGTAGACAAGAGATCTACCTCAGGCTATTGCACCTATGTGTGGGGAAATCTTGTTACTTGGAGAAGCAAAAAGCAAACAGTGGTTGCATGAAGTAGTGCTGAAGCAGAATTTCGAGCTTTAGCTCATGGAGTTTGTGAAGGAATCTGGTTGAGAAGACTTCTTCAAGAGTTGAAGATTTCTTATTCCCTACCAATAAAACTATATTGTGACAAAAAGGCAGCTGTTAGCATTGCTCAAAATCCTGTGTATCTTGTTCGAACAAAGCACGTGTAAGTTGGTCGTCACTTCATCAAAGAAAAATTAGATGATGGAAGTGTGCGTATGATGTATGTTCCAACCAAAGAGCAAACTGCAGATATCCTTACCAAGGGCCTACACCGTCCAGCATTCGAAGTCTTGATTGGCAAGTTGGGAATGATCAACATTTACCTCCCAACTTGAGGGGGAGTGTAGAAAATCAGAATTCAAATATTTTCCGTTTTTATTTCCTATTAATTAGGATTGATTAGGATTGATTGTGATTAGGATTGATTAGTCATCGCTGAGTCATTCTTAGCTATTCTTTCTTGTATAAATACTCCTCATGTAATTTATTCAATATCAATAAAACAAAAACCCTTTTTACAATAGTTACGGATAAGAAGGATAATAAAGAGAATCAAGTGGGTTGGAAGGTGTATTCCAGAAGAAACAAAAATCAGACTGTTAGTAGTCAGTTAGTCACTTGGGGTTGACATATTGTATAAATAGGAAAGATAAGTCTGTTTTAGGGGGTATCTGATGTTCCCTTGAAAAGCCATACATAGTTGAGTGAAGATAATCAATAAAGATATCTCCTTTCTCTTCTTCTCTCTGTTCTTGATATCTGTGATTGTTGTTCCGTTGTGAAACTGTGACAGTTGAACATTTCTAATTTCATTCACTTCTATTGCAGAAAGAGTGTCAGTTTTGCAGTCAATTCTGTGTCAGGCTTTCAGCAGTCCTTGCTGTTTCAAATAACATGGTATTTATTATGTTAGTATACATAGAAAAACATGCATTTTGTATTCATTGGTATATCTTCTAGAAATAATTGGAAGAAAACTTTCCTCTATTAGTGAGTGACAATTTTTTTAATTTGTTTGACTTTTTCTTAGCATATACCGAGTTAGGAATGCCAACATGTCAGAAGTGGGAAAGGTTGACATGCCAGAACATGACTGCAGTACCAGACATCCACCTTTTATTTTCTGAAGCAGAAACTAATTTTCAAACGTAGCCCTGATTGTACGCATATGTGAAGAGGGATTTCCGAATTATTTGAGAAAATCCTCAGCAGCACCTTCTATTTAAGTAGGATTTAGAATCTCTAATGACAGGAAATTCGGATTTTGCAATCTATAATATTAGTAAACCAAGAAGATATGGAAACTAGGAAACTAAGAAATTAGTGAAAATAATGCAAATCAATTCCTAAGTATGTACAGTCGCTAAATAAGAGATATAGAAAGGATTTTCCTAAATAGAAGATACTTTCCAACAGAATCTAAGTTCTGTGGTGTCCTCAATTTGTGAATATTTATGGGATACAAATGCATCTTTTGTTTATATTTTTTTACAAGATATATACTTAACTATTTAATAATAGGAAGCAGGAGGCAATCCATATTTTCTCATATCAGAAGAAATTGATTAAGACGAAGAGAAAGAATCACAAAGAGAAAGGAGGACATAGAATCCTCGTAAAGGGAAGAAGAAAACAGAAAACAACCAAGAAAAAAATTCAGTGGAACAAAGCTGTCCAATCCCTCATCATGACTGTTTGTGAAACCTCAATAAAAAGATAATGTGCTTTTGTTGAGATATATAAAAACCATTAATGTAGCCTCACCCAACAGCTTAAGCTTTTGGGTTGAATTGGTTCTTTATATGGTATCAAAGTCCCGGGTTCGAACCTCGCCGCCCCCCACTTTCTCTTGTGGCGTTTCTTAGCACAGGTAGGCTGGGCCTGTTGCATTGTCCACTCTTCAAGCCCAATGGGCTCTTGTGTAAGGGGGCGTGTTGAGATATATAGTCTCACATTGGTTGTATGTGCAACTAATGTAAAGTTTATAAGATCTTGGGCACTCCCACCCTTTGAGCTAGCTTTTGGGGTGGTGTATCCCAAGGTTCTTTACATGGTATCAGAGCCTCGAGTCCCGGGTTCGAACCTCGCCACCCCCCACTTTATTTCTAATGGAATTTCTTTCTTCGCACAGGCAGGTGTAGGTGGGCCTGTGCATTGTCCACCCTTCAAGCCCAGTAGGCTCTCGTGTGAGGGGGCGTGTTGAGATATATAAAAACCATTAATGTAGCCTCACCCAACAGCTTAAGCTTTTGGGTGGAATTGGTTCTTTACAGCTTTACACCAAATAGGCGTCAAACACCTAATCTTATCCCATCCCATGTCAAGTGTTGTGCCTAACAGAAACCTAATCCATATTTAAATATGATAACCATGTCCGGAATTTGTCGTTAAGAATGTAAGAATTAAAAGTCTTCCATTATCTAGAATTAAATAATATTATAACCAAACTGCCAACGTATTCATCCTCTAGTTTATGATACCGATTTTAGATCTATGATTTCCTGGCCTTGGGTCTACACCTAGTAGGATAAGCTCTTGGGTTAAGTTGGTTCTTGACATTGTTATAGGCCATCCTTAATCTAATGGTCAAGTGTGAAGAATTTGATCCTTGTCAGCCCGTTAAGCTTGTCAAACATCCCTTTAAGTCTTTGGGAGATTTAATTCCCTTACAATAGATAGAGAAAATAAGAATTTTTTTCACTAGCCTAGCTATTGTTGAATGCTTCTGGTTAACCATTTAAATGAGTATATAATAGGAGAAAGAGGAGAGTGAGAGTTGTGACAGATGAGACGAGGGCTAGGGTGGAGGTTGTAAAGGAGAAGAAAAGGAGTTTGTTACAAAGGAAGACACGTGGCTAAATCAGAATGGGGAAACACGAGAGGATAACCACTTGAGGACTGAGGAATGAATAATAGGGAAAGGGGTGAAAAGAGGGAAGGCATGCGTCTTGGGTGGTTTTAAAGGTGCTGCTTGCAGCCTGTTAGAAATATATAAAACCATTAATGTAACCTCACCTAACAGCTTAAGCTTTTGGGTTGAATTGATTCTTTACATGGTATCAGAGGCTTGGTGTCACGGGTTCAATCCTCACCGCCCCCATTTAATTAATAATTAATTTGGTTCTTTATATGTGTTAGAATAGGAAATGTAATATGTATAGATTTGTATAGATTGCTTTGTTATTTGTAAATATTCTTTTCCTATTTAAGATTTGGGTTAGGTCTGGGCTTCTCACTTAAGCCCATTAGGGTCTCTATATATTGTAACTGTTTGTATCAGTTTAATACACACATTATTTCATATTCAAGTTGGTATCAGAGCTCTTTTGTTCTGGGGACTATCGCTTTCGCTTAAAACCTCGTTTTCGCTTTAAAACCTAAGCCCACTGCTTAGGAGTTCTCTTTTTCTTTGCCGTGTGTCCTTCCGGCAAGTCATCTAAGCCGTGTGCCCCTTCAGATTGATTTCTGTACCTGTCAGCACCTCCGTCCGCCACCGAAATCTATTCGTCGCTGTTCCGGTCACTGGAGAACTTTTCCAGCGACATTTTGAGCCGGGACACCTGCGATCAGCTCCTCCTCTCTCCGGCGACTTGTTCAGTGGAAGACCCACCACCGTCGTAGCCTCCACGCGCTCCCACGCGTGGCCTGCTCCCTCTGCGCGTGGTGCTCATGTAACACCCCAAATTTCTAACAATTTATAAAACAATCTTATAATAAATAAATTGTCAAAATTCATTTTTTTTTTTTTTTTTTTTTACAATTATAATAATAGAAATATTGCGGAAGCTAATTTAATCTAATTTGGGGAATGTTACCGCCGCATCTGTACAATGGACAGGTGCAAGGCTAAATCTATTACATTAAAATAAAACCAAAGACTCAAGTTTAAATAAAGGAAATATGTCTTTTGCATCTATTTAAATCTCATAAAATTTCTAAACTTAAAAACTAGCTTGAAATATCCGAGTCGTGATCCTCACTGCCCACAGATAGCTCCATCCTTTGCAACATGCTTCACTGAAAATCTGCTCCCCCGCAGCCGCAGGATCATTGCCGTCAAACAAACACAAAAGTCAGCAAAGCTGGTAATCCCAATCAAAATACAATTATTGTAATTAATAACAAATTAAATCAAATATCAAATAGTGTTCAAATCAATTCCACATTAATCAAATCAAATATCAATATAATAATCAAAATTCCATTATATAATATTTATCTTTATTAAGTTCATTTAATGTATTTGGTAATTATCAACTAACATATTTAGCAAAACATTAATCATAATATGATAATATTCACAACTCAATGACATTCTTCATAATAAATCAAATAACAAATTTCATTAATAATGTTTAAGTTCATTAAATTTAGTGGGAAGAGAACTATGGTAGACCCGGGAAACCCTGCTAGTCTACCCTATAACCCGGGAAACCCTGCCAGTCACAAACAAATCACATTGGCCATAATCAATTCACATCTTCCTAATGTGCACACCTCTTCCCAAAGTTGCTACTAGTATCCCGGAGAACCCTGCCAGACACCACTTTGGGAAGAACGGATACAATCTTTTTCACATCAGTTTCACATCGGAGGCATAAAGCCCAAAAGTTGTGTTCATCACCTTGGGAGGTACCATCCCAAAGCTATCCTCCCACCATTAATTTATTACAAACACACACAATCAGGAAAGATTCAATCATAATTATTTATTCTTTAAGTATTATCATCTCTAAATGAGTTACTCAAGGCATTATAATTTTCCAAAGTATCATAATTCAAACAACTATTATCATAAATTTTTGAATTTATATAACAATTCAAATCTTCAACAGTCATCATAGTAAAAATCCAAATCCGATCATCATCATAACTTTCCAATTTATTCAAGGATATGATAATTCAAATCTTCAACATTCATCACAGTAAAATCCAAATCCGATCCTCATCATAACTTTCCAATTTATTCAAGGATATAATAATTCAAATCTTCAACATTCATCGTAGAAAAATCCAAATCCAATCATCGTCATTCAAATAATCCCATCACATCAATTATCATAGTTATTAATAATATAAATATTCAAATTCAATCATTAAAACACATATTTGGAAAGTTTTTCTGAAAGAGTAGTATAGTTCCATAATTTTCATAATTATTCAATAAGATCAATATATTGCAACAGAATTAAATCTTATAAAATACATTGCACATAATTATAATTTCTAAAATAATAACATTTTATATCATATATTGCACATAATCATAATTTCTAAAATAATAAAAGTTTATATCATATATTGCACATAATTATAATTTCTAAAATAATAAAATTTTCCAAAAATATTCTAATTATCATATGTAGTAATTTAAATTTAAAAAAAAAACAAATACCTATATATATAGAAATGTTCATACCAAACTATTAAGAACATCTACAGATTACATATAAGGATTATGCCCAAATTTCATATAATAGAGATAACCTAAACACCTAGGGATTAAGATTACATCCAAGTTTTATATAAAAGAAATAACCTACGAATAGGATTACATATACCAAAATTCATATCAATATAATCTATGACTCTCTAGGGATTAAGATTAATTACAATATATTTGATATATATAAAATATCCTAATAGAACATACGGATTATGATTACTATTAATAAACTTCAAACAAAATTATAACCTAAGGATTAGGATTACACATATCAAACATATAACTACCTAAAGATTAGGATACACACAATAAAATTTCATACACAACAAATCTACAACCACCTAGAGATTAGGATTACCTGGTCTCCGTTTTCGCTAACTTCTAGAAGAAAAGAATAATTTGGGGCAGAGAACCGGTTGGTAACCAGACGAATATAAAAATTGAATATAAT